GGGAAAATAATCTAAGTCCCCTTAATGAGATGCATATTCACCAATAGAACCATTGGAATAGGGTGCTTTTCCATTGGTACCAATCGTACCATTGGTACCAATGGACCATTGGAATTGCCCTGTACCCAACCAGGTCACATGGGAAAATAATCTAAGTCCCCTTAATGAGATGCATATTCACCAATAGAGCAATTGGAATAGGGTGCTTTTCCATTGGTACCAATCGTACCATTGGTACCAATGGACCATTGGAATTGCCCTATACCCCACCAGGTCACATGGGAAAATAATCTAAGTCCCCTTAATTAGATGCATATGCACCAACAGAACCATTGGAATAGGGTGCTTTTCTATTGGTACCAATCGTACCATTGGTACCAATGGACCATCAGTTTGACGAATCGTATCCGTTTGTGTATATTGGACATGTGTGGATTTTTCCAAGGGGTTTGCCATATTCGCCAAGCTTGCCACTGAGCAGGTTGGCGAGCGGGTATTCTCTATCAGGGTTCCTTTCCTTAGCCTTTGTCCAAAGAGGCACAACCTGCAAGGCCTGAGGTTCGACTATGTTTGCATGGACTACATGTACTCTTAAAAATTTACAATAATCGAGACCTACTTGTCTGTGTCGATGCTCTTGTCCCTGTACGCATGTAAAAGCGCTAACCCAGAGGACCTCTTTGCTCGTATACTAGAGCGCAAGTACGTCTTGATCCTCCACATACAACTAGATGATCGTTCCAGAGTTGCTGTCGCCACTGGCGTCGTCAAAATAATTGTGAAAATGAAATTTCCCAAAAAAATGTTTTAAGCCCGTGAGTTAACTGGCTTACAGTCAGGTACGCCCCTGGCAACTCCACTGTTGTTACAAAAGAGGAGGCCATGGTTTCTTGATGGAACCTGAATAAGCTACCCAAAAGCTTCCTAGGGTTTTTTTTAGTCTTGGCACCAACTCAAGGGACCACAGTTTTTGTCTTAAAATTGTGTGGAGGTCAGTACCCCAAAATAGGCTGAGGGATTGCCTACGGTTAATTCAATTCAATTCAATTCAATTTTTATTATTCACACTTTTATAAAATATTTACATTATAAATCTCCAATTATTGACCTTTCTGCATCTTAACTGTCAATTCCTACTAACATTTTTTTTTTACAGTGAAAGAGGCATTTGGATGGTGAATCCCTGGAGTTATATACCTCGTTTTTGGAAAACCGGGCTACTAAAAAAGGTCAGTCTCTCACACTGATTGTTAATTTAATACCCCTTGTTACTTGAAAAGTAAAATCTCACCTCAAAAAAAATTATTGAATACGTGAGCTTCCATTTGATAGAATCGACTGTCTTGAAGGTAACAAAAGTAAAGTTTTCCTCATTAATCTGGAAAATAAGGCATTTTAAGGGGCAATTTTTAGTGTCGGTGTCACCGATTGCAAAGCCAATTCCCCAGTTCACCCCATTTTTAATTGAAGCTGGTCTCCCAAAAACAATCTAAGCCAACACTGCTCAACAAAAACAAGTCCTACAACCACCAGTTCAACTGCTTGCTGACTAGGAACATTATCAAGAAAGTGGGTCATTACTTGCATGCAAACAGCACAAACAAACTGCATAAGAGTGCAAAAACACATCAAACCTTACAACAACCCCACCCCCCTCGAATTTTACTAGGCTACCCCAAATGCATACCAGATGATAGCCCCGTATCTGTGCAACAACATGACACCCAGCCAGACACAACCCCTCCTTGATTTGAGGGAGACATTGAGCTTTGAAAGACAGGGGTAAGCCCAGGTACAAAAACTCAGCAAATCCGTACTCCTTCACAAAGCATAGTGTTTACAACAACCCCATCCTCCTGGAATTTAACTAGGCTACTCCAAATGCATACCAGATGATAGCCCTGTGTCTGTGCAACAA